CATACACGCTCTAAAATTACCCTTGAGATGGAGGTATGCCATCTGGGCCAACATGGGACTGGTATTGATCTGGCACATGTAAAGTCCTTGGTCCGACTGCTGGACGTTACGTATTTTCAGAAACCACCTGTCACCCTTTACGTCGACGCTGTACTTGTGAGGACGACTGGCGAAAACGCGGTGGTTCCACGTAAGCACTATCGTTGGATCGGCCCTGACGAAAGCTACCTGAACGAAGGGCACTAGAATACGGTAGGCTGATTCTCAGGCTTTAGCTTACCAAGTGCTTGCCCAGGTTCACAACCTGACACGAAAACGTGGCGTCCATCCCTCGGATCGCTGTCACGTCTACCATCGGCTCGCCGAATTGCGGCACCTCGACCCTGCTGCACGCTAAAACGAACAGGTGATGAGGCGAATTTGAACGACGAGCGTACTGGGTGAAAAAAATTTTAAAAAATTAAACAAACATGAAAACAGACTTCCACAGGAACCAAAGATTGATTTACCATTGAACAACTGACATAAAATGGCCGGTAGTGAGATGATGCTGTCGGCGGCCATCGTCTGAGCGTGAATATGGAAAAGAAGGCCTTTATTAGGAAACAACTACCACACGACTCTGAGGTCACGTCTACATTTAATAGACTTAGACAAAGAGTACGGTTCTGACTCTGAGACTACGGTCACCTGGAGCCACGTGGCAGCGAATAGCCACGACGACGACGACGAATTACACAGCGTTCGCCAAAAACGACAATCAACACACCGTTTTTGACAGATCGCGCTTCGAATGGCTTGCACTTTTATGCTGTCCTATTCTGTGAATATCACGTGACAACCAGGTGGGCTTCGATTGGTTGTTTTCGTTTTGTTTTTCAGTGTTCCTCGGTCGTGTCGATCGGTTCGTATCAAGAAGACGGTACGGATTCGATCAGATCGTCTGGCACTGCTGAGTGCCAGCGGCTGCTTGCAGAGAACGACCGCCGTTGCCCGATGAGCATGTTAATTGAATTAATCCGTTAAGTCTATACAAGTCCGACAAGCGGCAAGTCTTGAGTGCAGATCCGTTTACCGCGTTACGCCCTCCTTGCGCTGTTCACCTCCTCCGGAGATGGTCTTCAAGTCAAATTGATCACTCGTTGCAAAGTTGCGCCAAAAAACCAGGGCAAGACGCCGGATTCCCGACATCTCTCAGGTTCTGCAAGGATAAATATGAGAATTGAATTACCTACTCTAGCCATCCATTTACTAGGCACTGCCATTAGCAGGCCTACAATTAATCTAATTTAATTTCGCTCACTTGCTTATTAAAGACATACTAGATCCTCTTGCTGCTAATGACTCGGCTTCAACTCTGAGGAAGGTATCGTCGATCTGTAGGTAAATGATCATTGCTACAATGAAGCTGATACATCTTATGATCAGCAGGACGAAATCAAGAAGATCATTGAGGTGTTGCGACAGAATTGAGGTCGGTTATCATCAGTGGAAACTCGCATTGCTCCATAATTGCCGTGAGTTTAGAAAGTCGTTCTGTGTGGTTGCTTGAGCTTGACTTCTCTAAGAAACGGATGGCGAGTGATCACCTTGCTCGAGTTTTACGTAAACCACGGAAAATGCAGCTTTCGAAAGCCGTGCCGATAATGAGAGAAATACTAGTATTCCAGGCTGATGATGACCGATCT